TTTTCCTCCTAAGGTGGAGCCTTGTACCAACTTCTCTCTCTTGTCTCCTTACACACACCCTTTGCCTCAGCCCACCTCCTCCTGTATGATCTCCTCCAAGCCTTTCCACAAAATACATTTCCTTCAGCTGGCTTTCATACAGTAATCTCAAGAAATGCAATATCTGGTCTCACTTTGGGTCTTGATTTTAAGCAAAAAAAAAAAAAAAAAAAGCAAAACGAGTGATCTCCCAAGAGCAGTTTTCCTCTTTCCTTATGCTTTTTATTTTCTTTCCTTATTCTTATCCCTCTTGTGCAATCTATCATTTCATCTGTCAACTTTAGGCTCATTACAGGCTGTGAAAGACCTATTGCTTAGAAGCCCAGGATCAGCGATGAGTGCTATTGGGACAGGTAAAAGTGTCAGATTTCCTGATACAGGGAACACTGGTAGTGGGGTAGAATGCTTTCAAGGACTGCAATACTGGGTTGTCAGTAGGTGGGCACTGAGTGGTATTGGAGAGGAAAAACAAGGAATTAGTAAAGGCTTAGAACAAATACCACATTTACTCAAGTATAAGACAACCCTGATTATAAGATGACGTCCCAATAATTAGATTCCATATATGGAAAATCTATAAATTTGATATAATTTTTCGAGTATAGAATCTAATTAGTAGAGGTTTGTTTTGAATTTATCAGCCTCTCACTGTTATAAGAAGGAAAATACATCAGGGGGGTCAGGTAGTTCCTTTGCACTCTTCCCCACCTCCTCCAACTTCTACCTTCTGCAACCTCTTCCCTTGCCTTAGTGTCAGACCTTGCTCTTCCTGAGCACATGGAAAAAACTAACTGAAATAAACATAGCTGTAGTAATTTGCATAGACTTGTACCCATAGACTTCATTCATGCATAAGTAATGTATTTTGCCTTTTTTTAAACTGCTACAACTTTTAGCACAGGTACTCCGTAAACACAATTTACAAGCAGCACTTTGTTACCTACTGAGAGAAAGTACAAATTATGTATAGTAGTCTAAGGCCAAAAGGGTCATGACTCACCATATAGTTCATTGGGCTGGGCCCACCAGAGTCAACAGCATTTCAAGCCCTGACGGACCCCACAGTTCAACATTACTCAGTATGTGTTTGTACTCTAGATATCCCCTACAAAGGAGCCATGTGCTAATTAACCCTCACTCATGACTGGAACTGGGTCTTCTTTTCCTGAGTCCTGGGATCCTCCAAAAAAAGTATATGCAGATGAGGCATAGGGCAGCTTGGTCCAACTTGATTTCATGCAGAGCAGGGTCACACTAATCATAAGCAACAGTCTGAGAGGGGGGCCAACAGGATTCTGAGCAAGCTGTTTTGGGCTCCATTTCGTGATATTTAAAGCTGGTGAAAAACAGGAATCATTGGAAATGGGAAAGAAAGGTGCAGCCCAGCTGTGGGAATGAAGAGGATGTTGAAATGAGTACAAAGTAGTGGATCATCATGACTTGAAAAGACTTGTCGCTGAGGGGATCTGTGCTTAAGGGGCACTACCATATGTCTTACTCAGATGGGTTGCACTGAATATTTTATGTGGTTTCTCACCCTTGTATGCAAATGTAAGAAAGGAGGCTTTTCCCCCTGTGCTGTTTGGGGGGAAACTTGTCTTATATTTGAGTAAATACGGTAGTAATCAAACAAAATATAGGGAATTCAAATTAAATAAAAAGTGAAAAACAAGAATCAATCTCTTGGTGTTGGATGTTGTAATAGAAAGAGCTGAGCTTTTTAAAGAGATGAGATCACCACCATAAAATCTAAATGCACACGGGTGTACATGCACGCGTGCGTGTGTGTGTACACACACAAAGTATGTGAGAAAAATGCAGCAGAGAAGAAGTCGTGCCTGCCAATGGAAAGAGTTTTCATAATACTGAGATTGCAGGTAAGGTATACATACCAGCTAGGGCTTGTTTAGCAGTTCTGTTCTAAGACTGCATTTCGGAAGGAATGAGGATCAAGAAAGACAGATTGGAATTTAATGTGCAGAAGAAAAAAATGACGTTTTTCGTTTAGAAGTTTTTGCTGTAGGAGGTACATTTTAGGTACCCAGTCACTCATTGACTCGCAAGATTTATGTGTGTAATTCCTATTGATGTTAATAGGTGTAAACTCCTGTTCACTGATGGGACAAAAGCCCATTTTAGTCTCTAAATTAATGCTGGATTTTGTTTTGTTATCTGTTTAGTTTTCAAAATGTAATAGCAAGAATGATAAATTGCAGAATACTTTTAAGAAAATTCCCTGAGGCTGTTGTGAAGAAATTTAGTAACAAAGTACAGTATTTCATGAACAAATACATTTGAGTGTTATCATTCCTCTCATCTCAAGAAACTGAGTAATTTGGAAAAGAACCCAGGCTTTTAATCTTGTTTTGGAGGGCATTATAATTCAAGACTACTTGCTTTGATGCTAATACAGATCTCCAGATATTTTTGGCTAAATTGCCTTCTTTAAATGTTATTCCTTTTCCAGCATATAGACTAAATGGTTTTGCACAACAAAGAAATTTGCTGTATGTGCACATCCTAATGCTATTTGTAGTATAACTTAGAATATTATATTTGGGGGGAGGGGCTTGCATATTTTCAAATTGGGAAGAAAAATGGAAATCCTGTTTCAGGTTTTATAGATGATATGTCAAACTTGTATTTAAAATGTAAAGGTTTGGAGTTCACTTTGTGAAAGGCAGAAAGGGAACTGAGTTGTTCAATAAGATTTTTCGCTGGAGAAAATTGATGTCGCTCATTCAGGAGCTGTATCATGAGGGCATATTCTGTTCTTCAGCTTCCCTTTGGGGTTTGGATCTTATATAAATGGGAAAGGGAGTGCTCCACATTTATATAGCCAGTTACAGTAAGAAGAAACTGCAAAGTTCCCAAGCTAGGCAGACAAGGTGGGTTCTTTCCAGGGATCTTGACCATTGGCAAAAAAATGAAATTCAGGAGGAATTTAAAATCAGATTTAAAAGCAACTGCAAGAATAATATTCTGGGGGGATGAAATCAGGGTTTATCAAGTTTAACAAAAAAATACTGTGCGCATGTAGTCAGAGCTAAAGCTGTATTTAATCTCAGTGGAAAAAGCAATATGTAATTTAAATAATGCAGATATTTTACATAAAACTTCGTCATTCCTTGTCACAGGAGGAGGAAACACATGATGATGTTTCTGACATCCAAGCAGCAGCCCTATTGTCCACCTGGCGACCTAAAACCAGCTTTATGTCCAGCTCACCACTTTCAGATTCAGGCTGTAAGTATTATGTAACAAAAAATCTCCACAATTAGTTATTCTTTTCCTTTAAAGCAAAGTTACATAAATATTATTATAAAGAAATGATAGAAGTCCTGCTGGTTTTCACTTTCAGGCACTACATGTATTTCTTTACCTACTTAACATCTTCTACATCACACTGGGATTTTTGTATTTGGTAATGCATGTTTTTATCCATCAAGTCTGGAATAAAGAAAATTAACCTAATGTAATTTTGAATCCTGTCCAGTGGCAGCCTTAGCTTCACTGTGTCTGGTGGAGTTGGGCCTATTCAGGGTGCTATCAGCCTCACTTCTGGTATAACTGCCTTACAAAATACTTCTGAACATTTCCTCCTGCTCCCCACCTCTCTGGAACAGGTCAGATTGCACCATGTATCATATATTTTCAGAAAACATTTCTCAGGAATGAGATCATCACCCCTTTCATCCCCACAATGTCAATGTATGCAAGCTGCATACTGACTACACACTCAATAATGTGTACTCTGTGTACTTTTGTGAAACAAAATGCAATGGTTCAGTGCTAGTTGTACCTTTGACCCCTTATTTTTACCTATTTCAGCAGTTATGGTTCAGTGAAACAGTTTTGGTTACATGGAAAAGTACATGAATATTTTCCAGTCTTTCCTCCTTCCTTTAAACTGGTTACAGTACAAGGCTCCTTGCAGACTACTATAAATGCAATGCAATATTTTGGTTAAAAATGTTTGTTAAATATTGGCAGATTGGCATGTCCCAGAATATAAAACATGGCTATCTCTGTAGGGAGCTAGATGACATCTGTGTCTGTTGTTTGGTAAAGAGTGTAGCAAAACTTCAGGCTGAACCTGATCCTAGAATGTAATAATCAGTATCTGCATAGAATTGTCATTGTTCAGAGCACTTCAAACCAAATATGAAATTCTCAATGCATGGTAATGTCAGGCATGAAAAGTGATGATCAAAACTAAACCACAATACTATCAATCTAGAGAAAATCTACCAGTTCAGTCTACCTAGGTCTACTGCACCTGTACAGTTGAGTACTTGTATTTGTACAGCACAAGGAAACTCCCACGTTCAGACAGGGACCCTGAAATGGGAGCCTTGATCTGGTATCATTGACTGCCTTTTAGTTGCCATCTCAGCCAGTTTTTTCTTGCTTTCTCTTCCTTTTCCTATGGCACAGTGCAAATAAGAGAAATTTCCTCTCCGCTGGTTTTAGGCATAGAATATCTAATTTACTTCTTTATTCTGTCAGCTATTCTTGCATCTATCTTTGACTTTCTGAATACTTTAAAATGGGTAGCCAACCTCCAGCACAAGCGCCACAACTGGCACAGCAGTCTATGCATGTGACACATGACAGATTATGGAGGAGGCAGGCAGCATGGAGGCAGATAGGGCAGAAAGCAGGGCAGCAGATCAGGCAGGGGAGCACAGGGTAGGCAATAGAAAACAGAGCAGCACATCAGGTAAAGGAAGGGAATTGAAGGTATGAAGCTGATTTGTGGCACACCTGCCAAAAAAGTTGGCCTCCACTGCTTTAAAACAATGTTTAAACCATAAAAGTAAGATTCTGCTTAGTCACTTTTTCATCATCTAATGATAATTTCTGATATTACAGATCACTTTTTCCTAAAATAATACAAGTAAAAAAATATCATTAGAAAGGCTGCAAAATAACACCTTGCTAGTATCTTTTATTCAAGGATCTTACCGTACTTTACAAGCATTAATCAATTTAGCCTCACAACACCATTATGAAGTAGGTAATTATTATTTACATCCATGAGTAAGCTGAATCCCAGAAAGGGTAAATGACTCACTTGAGTCCGCATATTAGTCAGTGGGGATCTAGAAATAGAATTTAAGACTCCTCCCGCCTACTCTTTTAACCACAAGACAGTAGCCCCTCACAAGGGGTGCAATCAAAAATGAGTAAATGGTAGGTAAAATTCACAGATTCGGAATTGTGATTCAGCATAAGCTAATCCATACCTATTTTTGTATTTCTTTGCACATATTCATGCAGTCAGAAGCTGGCCTAAACTTTGGAAAAGATTCCTTTATTTGTGCAAATACAGGTTTTTATATATTCAGGTTATGCCTGGTATTTAGACTTCTGGATCTAAATCAGAGAAAGATCTGAATTTTTTTTACAGATAGGCATCCCCAATTGTTTAATTAAAACAACCTGGCTTAGAGTTAAAAGTGAACTGAAATGCTTTTTAAAGAGATTAATAGAAAAAATGTTTATAATCCAAGGCCATTAGCAGAATGCATGTGTGGACTTCAGTATATCATGGAACAGCATTTAAAACCCCCCAAGATTTGGACACAAAAATGATAGTTCCAGAGTCAGACTGACATTTTTGTGGAGAGCTGTACTTGCACAGTTGTACATTTTCTATCTAGTTTCAAGTTGATTATATATTTTACCTTTGAGAGCTCAAGCAAGAAACTGAAGCTTTTTTGTATATGTTTGAAAGGCAGTTGTAAAGGCAGTGATGTTATGCTCTGATTGCCAGATGAGGGAGTTAAGTAAATAATAAGATTTGAGAAGTATATTGTATTTAAATATACCTGATCAGTTATGGACAAAGAGGAGCAATAGCAAACTTATTTTGTGTTGCAAAGGGCATTATTGATACACAAAGTAAAGTGACTCATCACATACTATAAATGAACGTGTACATTGAGAGTATTATGGATTAGCCTCACATATAAATCATACAGCATTGTTGGTTTAAAGTTGTTAGATTAATTGGTAATATTATTAACCTTTGTCATTATATTATTAAACTCTTTATATATAACAATACCAGGGACCTAAATGTAACAGGAGTCTAGTCTAGTCACTTATATCATGGGTAATATTGTTGCCTTTGAAGATGAGGAGTATATGTATTATTACTCCTATGTTAATTAAACAAGTTTTGCCCCCAGATAATAGAAGAAAACAGTATTAGCAACTAACATTTTGGTAGCATTCATGAATTTCAAGAATGTAAGTAAGCAGCGGGCTGCCAGGCTTTGGGAACAGGTAGTAGGATAAAGGCTGTGGACAGCTGTAACATTACACCATTTTAAAAGAAAAGGGGAGCTTGCAGTTCAGCAACATATATCAGTTGGACCAATGGAACTGTTTCATCTGTCCACTGCTGTAGCTGGATAAGGCACCTAAGCCACTGTGGCCACTTGTACATTTGATGAAATTGCCCTTTTTAGCTGTTCAGTTGCCCTTTAATGGCAGTTTAATTGCATCACACATTACACATGCAGCAGTGTATTGCAATTTAATTTCATCACACTTTATACATGCTGGAGCGTATTGCAATGTAATTACCTTGTTACATAGCAAATGAAAACACATCCTGATCTATTACCTAACAAATTGCAGTGATACATCCATCCCTGAGCCCACCTGGGCTTCCAGCTCCCCGTGCACCATTCCCACCTCCTTCAGCCACTAGCACACCCAGCTTATCCCTGGGACAGCACAAGGCAGTGGCAGGAGGACAGCTGGGTATACTGGCAGCTGGAGAAGGTGGCAGGGATGGTACACAGTGTGCTGGAAGCTTGGGGAAAATGGGGCTTGGTAGCCTTTCAGGGCCCCATGCACCTACTGCCTTCTCCAGCTGCCACACACCTAGCCACCCTCCTGCTATTTTCCCACTCTGGCCCAGGAGCAAACTAGCCTATTCATAGGTGGTCCCAGGTGGCTGGAAGGTGGTGGGGACAGTGCACAGGGTCCTGGAAGCTCTGGTAGGGAAGGGAAAACAAGCAGTGTTTTTTTTCCTTTCCCAGAAGAGCCTGGCCACGGCTGAGGCGTGAGCTGCCAGCAGCATCTGAGCTGTGGGGGGCCCAGTTCTTCCCTCTGTGGTGGTGACATCCCTTGGGGCCACCTGGGTGGGTTGATAGTAGGCAGCACTCAGCTGCTCCGCCTGGATGGCCCGGGGGGCTGCTGCTGCTGCTATGGAGGGAAGGACCAGGGCCCCCTGCAGCTCAGGGCTCACTGGCAGCTCAACTCCTGCCCGTGGGCAGGCTCTGCCAGAAAAAAAAAAAAAAGGAACAGGCCCCTCTCAGTAACAGTGACGGAAGCCCCTAAATTGAAATGGTGGGTTTGTAATCATCATAATTAAAAATGCACTGTTTCAATTTAAGGGAACTAAACCTTCCTCCTGTGTACTAGTGGCCTGTAACTTTAAACCTAAATGAAACCGATTTAAAGTTAAAATGATTTAACTTCCACTTAGAATAGAATAAACAGTAGGTCTGTGTGACGCTTCAGTCACTGATTCGGTTCGGAGGAGATTCAGCCCAATTTGGCAGCCGAATCCCCAAATCTGAACTGAATCAGGAGACCCATTAATCTCTCCAAATCAAATCAGAAACCTCCAATTCAGTTCAGAGGGATTTGATGATTTGGCCATAGACACAGCTTTATATTTTTTTTCTACATACCTCAGGGTACCAGACAGCTCATGAACGCTGAGATGGTGGGGCAGATGGAGCATCCCATGGGAGTGCGGGGGGTCCACTTCCTGGTCCACTGCGAGTGCACAGGGGACCCCCCCCCGCGCCCCAGCTCGATGACTGCTGCCTCCTGTGTCAGGGGGGCAGCCGGGGTCCCCCTGTGGCCAATTCCCATACTTCCAGTTCACTTCCAGGTCTACTGCCAAGCATGCAGGGGGTCTCCCCACATTCCTGTGGGACGCTCCATCTGCCCCACCATCTCAGCGTTCACAAGCTGCACCTGGTACCTCGAGGTATATAGAAAAAATATATAAAGCTGTGTCTATGGCTGAATCACTGATTCTCCGAATCAGAATCGAATCTTCAGATTTGGATTCGGCCGAATCGAATCGGGGCAGTGATCCAAATCAGCGAACCAAATCGCTGTCCCATGAATCAGACCGAATCCAAATCGAATACGGCCCACTTTGCACACCCCTAATAAACAGGTAAAACAGAACAGATCATACA